TGGCGGTGCTCTGTCAAGGCTGTAATTGTCCTGCTCTCTGGGGTGTGGGAATGGAGGGATCACCTACCTTGGATCGTTTTTTTTCGAATGAACCGAGCACGCCGCGTCCGCGGTCGGAATTCACCGTGTCTCACACAAATTCAGCAGTCTGGAGTCGTGCCTGCTTCGGGGTTGCCTCGGCCAGCTTGCTTCATTAATGGAAGCTGGTTTTACTGTAGTGTTTGATTGTATTTTCGTTTTTTCCAACCTGTTTTTACAGGGACGATGCTGTGTGAGTCAGATGCACGCATGGCACTTGCAGAACCGGTCCCCGTGGCTTATTTGAATTCGGATCCTCAAGGGAACTGTGAGGTGTCGCTGGATGATGTGCGGCTCGACTCTTCAGCTAGGTTTGTCTCATTTAAGATTTATTTTCTCTGTAGAAATTTGTATATTTGACTGCATACATATATATATATCTGTATATTTGACCTGTATACATATAGTTTGTATTCTGTCATGTTTACTTAGATTAATTAAAATTTTTTTTTTTTTGAAGAAATGTCAAACATCTGTTATGACTTTCAAAATCCAAAAAGCTAAATCTACAGGCTCACCCTCTCAAAAGAAGAGAGAGATGATTAAATTTGCTGTGCATAGCTACCACACAGAGTATGGAGTGTGAACTAGCCTGCATTTAATAGAAACTTGAAGCACAGGAATGGTGGAATATTCTGCGTAGTCAGACGATCACCTCTTAAAAAGGAACTTTGTGTAATTGTTAACCGATGTAATTGGGAGGGCACTGACCAAACACTTAGAACACGTTGCAAGTACTGCATTGTTTGTGAAGTGTTGCTGCAGTGTAAACAGAGAGGTGTGCCTCTGGAGGGATGGTTTGTGTGCAGTACCTATGCTGATTTTTATCAAACTCCTGTTAGTCTGTCTGTAAATCTAGGCAGCCTCTTACTAAAGAGCAGGTCAGTATCTAAGAGTTTGTATCTCACCACAGAGTGATGGGATATAGCTGACAAAAAACTCTTTACCTAGGTTTTTTTTTTTTAGGCTGCAATTGAATTACGTGTAGTAAGGGGGAGAAAAATATGATGTGACTCACTAGAAGGGAAATAGCTGGGGCTTTTTTGCTCATATTATTGTGTCATTTGCATGCTTTGATCATAAAAGCTGGTGGAGAAATGGTGCAGAACTATTGCAATTGAGGATTAATCTGTACTGAAAAATGCTCTCAATAATGAGGAGGAAATGTGTAGTAGGGAATATCTTGTAATCCTTTTGGGAGAAATAAAGAAAAAAATTGATTTACTTCCCTGTGATTCCTGGCTTGCAGATTAGATAGGAGAAGCAATTCTGCTTTTGGATAGTACATGGGAGTAGCCATGTCAAATCTTCTGTCTTAAACCTCATCAAATGCCCAAAGCAATAATGATTGACTATTCCCTGGAAATTCAGAGAAAATGTAAAACAGAGGGAAGCGATTTACCCCTTACACTGAAATTCAGGCAGTGCTTTGTACAGACTTGTCTTCTGTTTGGTCTAGTAGAAAGAGAAGGAAATGCGGGGCTCGGTGGGAACCCTGCCTGGATTGGGCTGAGGAGTTTGCATGGGACCAGAGGAGCTTCTGCTGTGTGCAGGTGTGGTCTGGTCCTGCCAGGCAGAGATGTCGGGGCTTCTTTTTGCCCCAAAGCTGCCCCTGCGGAGGGGCTGTTGTGATGTCAGAGGCGTGCAGCCCTGCTGGATCACCTGGGAGCAGGTGTTAGAGAGAAACCTTGCACCAAACGTGGCCGTGGGGAAGAGTGAGCACCTACCACTGACATGAAGAAACAAACACCTTTGTGATGGCCCGGAGTGCAGGGCCCCGGGACGGCTGTGTGGCAAGGCAAGATGGAAATACTGGTTTTCTGGAATATGACATGTCATCTGCCTGTAGGTTTGAGGGTGGAATTTCCTTCTAGGGAGCAGAGCACAGAATACTGAATTTTGCAGGGTCTGACTTCCAGCTCGGGGTCTGCGGCTTGATTGTTACTTATCCTCATCACTTGTGAGAAGGTCCCTCTCTCTTGGAAAGGGACAGAGCAAAACACTCTTCTACAAATGCAGGCAGGTGATGTCTCACCATGTCTTGCAAGGGTGAAAGTGAAAGGGGCACCTTTCAGCTGGCGCCGCAGGACGCGTTCCTGGTGAGGAGCACAGCTGGAGCAGGCGGAGGATTTGCCCGTTTCCATTTCTTCACAAACATCTGGTGGGAGCCTGAGGCACCGATTTCCTTAGGAATATCTAAGAACAAGATTTCCTGTTGAATCAATTTCCTGCTCTTCAGCTGGCCTGGCCTCCTGCAGGAAATCTCTCTGGATTTCCAGCCAGGGGGGTGGCTGTCCTGCCTAGGGGAGAGGCTGCCCCCCCTTCCTTAGGCTCCCATATTGCCAACAGGAGATAAGCCTGTGCCCCTTCCTGCCCCCCTCCCTCCTCACTGCTGTAGATTCTGTTTCTAGAGCAGACCCGTGGTATGAAGTTATCCTTGATTTCTGGATGACGTGTTTATGGATTCCTCTGCAGCTTATCTGAAATGCTAGCTACAAGTAGGACGACGTACGTTGAAAAGCAGGGCAGGCAAAGCTTGCACGCTCCGAGAGGGACCTGTTTCGTTGCTGTAGCCTTGCAGGCTAGTAAAATTAATAAAGTCACTTGCAGAACATCAGGAACCGCTTTGACACCAAGGACTGGTGTGATTAAGCAATGGAGCAGGCGTGCCCAAGGCGTTCTGCAGCCAGTGTGCTGAGGCCGGTCCAGGGCTGACTGCTTTTGCCTTGCAGAACTGGTGAGGTCCCCAGCACTGAGGCAGCTGAAGATGCTAAGAAGGAGGGATGTCAGACAGACACGCTTGGTTTCCAAGGTAAGTGGAAATAATTTTTCGTTAGCGCGGTGTGCATAAAACGAGCATTGAAATGAGAGAGGAATTGAGCAATCTACAACAACGGAAGAAGAAACTCAAATTGCAGGGTGGTCGGTCCAGAAGCCTCTTGAACTTAGACTTTAAAGCTGGGGTGTGCTTCAAGGAGTAGAAAAAGTAATGTCACTGCCTAATGCCTGTCTACCAGGTAATGACATACTTTCAGTCCTCCTTAAACAACAAGTAAAAAAAAAAAGCACAGTGTACATGATTGTCGTGGGAAGCTGCCACCTCACCAACGGAGGAGCTTCAGGACAGCAAAGCAGGTTAGAGGGGGATGTCAGTGGGGAAATGTTTAACAAAATTTTGGAAGGGCTTTTGGAGGCTTCATCTGCTAGTCCTGGTCTGAAACACTGGGAGTCACATGGCAGACTTGCAGAGAAGAAAAGGTCAAAAAGGGGAGTGGGAGGGGGTGTAACAGCATTTGCTTTGGTGTGTTTGATACTTGTATTTATCCTTCTGTTACGGCAGCAAGTGGTTTCTAAATATGAGATGCTGAACACTTTTCTTTCAAAGCAGCCTCTTCACCTCCTCCCTCCAGCGTGTGGACAACGCGACGAGATGGAGAGGTCAGGCTGAGGATGGATGAGCAGGGCATAGGCAGTGAGGCACCAAAGACTGTTCACGAGCTGTTCCAGGAAGCAGCTCGTAAATACGGTGACTATTACGCCCTTGCATCCAAGAAGGGAGGCGAGTGGATCAAACTAACGTATAAGATGTACTATGATGAGTGCTGGAAAGCAGCAAAAAGCTTTCTGAAGGTAAGTGTTTGATGAATCCTGCTCCTCCTTCACGTTCAGTCAGTTTAGCTGCTGAAATGGCTGTGGCCAACTGTCTCTTAAACCTGCAAATTCTCCGAGTGAGTCTCAAAGTGACAGGGAAATCAACAGCCTGGTGATTACAGCACTGGTTTTGTTTGAATTTCTTGCAAGTTGCTTCCACATGCAACTAACAAAAAGTGTGTAAGGAAACATTTAAAGAGAGGGGTTTGAGGTATATGTCAAACCTGGACAATGCCCCTCATGAGGCATGTAAATTTTAATCTTTCTAAGAACAAAAACTAGAAGGGATGCTTATGAATCAGATTTAAATGTCCAAACTGGCCAAGCCTTTTGCCTGTGCTGTTGGGAGTTAAGATGCTCAGAGAAACCAACATTACATGTACTTACTGTTACCTTTATGAAGTTCTATTTCTTGTGAAGGCCGCTCTGTTTTCGCTGCTATGGTGGGATTCACTCCCACTCTGGGACAAAACCAGGGAACAGCTGAAGGATTAAAGACTGAGACTTAAACAGCTGGAATTTCATAGCAAAGTGCCTCTGACGTTCACTGGAGCTTGTTGCTCTTGTCATTATTGATATCTGACATATCATAGAATCATCTGGTTGGGAGAGACCCTCAAGATCATTGAGTCCAACCATTCACCCTGCACTGTCAGGGTCCCTAAAACATGTTCCTCAGCACCAAATCCACACGGTTTTTAAACACCTCCAGGGATGGGGACTCCACCACCTCCCTGGGCAGCCTGTTCCAATACTTCACAACCCTCTCTGGAAAGAAATTTTCCTGATATCTGACCTAAATTTCCCCTGGCGTAACTTGAGGCCATTCCCTCTCGTCCTGTCATTCATAACGTGGGAGAAGAGACCAACCCCCATCTCCCTACAGCTTCCTTTCAGGTAATTGTAGAGAGCGAGAAGGTCCCCCCTGAGCCTCCTCTTCTCCAGACTGACCAGTCCCAGCTCCCTCAGCTACTCCTCACAGGACAAGTTCTCCAAACCCTTCACTAGTTGATATCTAACCTGTCCTAAATGTCTCAGTAGGTGGTGTCTAACTTACCCTCTTACCTTCTCATTCTCAGCCCAAAGGGCACTGGTAACGACCTGGACTGCATTTCTGTAACCCCGTCAGTGCCAGCGAGCCAGTCATACCGAGCGCAGACCCAAGCAAAGCCTTTTTGTCCCAGACTGCTGGTGAAGTGAGACAGTGTCTGATCTGAAACTTAACTGGTTCCATGTTAGGTCTTGGAAAGTTTTTCAGCTGTGAATTACCGTATATAATAGCAGGAACTTTTCCCTTGACATTGTGCTCACAGCAAGAGATCTGTAATTTAACTCTAAGCATTCTTCAAAGGAAAAACAAGATTGCTGTAATCTCATCTCTTGTTTCCAGCTGGGACTAGAGCGTTTCCATGGAGTGTGCATCTTGGGATTTAATTCTGCGGAGTGGTTTATTGCTGACATTGGAGCTATCCTTGCAGGGTGAGAGGTGTTGTCTCTTCACGTGCGTTTCGCTTTAGCATTCAGATAATAATTTCAGTATTCATGTGAGAAGCAGTTTTTTATTAAAAAAACCCAACGACACAACAACAAAAACAACCAACAGCACAACCAACAAAAAAACCCAGAACAAAACCAACTACTTATATTTTAATTTAATGAAGATAGCTAGATCTTAAACTCTTTACTTCATTATGAGTTAATAAGACAAAAATTAAATTATTTTTTTTTTTAGCCAGGTCCTTCTCTCAAAATAAGTTGAACAGTAAGTTCATCCAAAAGCATGCTTACTTACACTGTAATTAAAAATATGATGGGAAATGCCAGGGAATCCCAGCACTGGATTTTGATAGCCGCCTTCCACCTGAGACTTATGGTTCCTTACACCATTCTGACATTTCCCATGCCCCAGAACAGAGCCTTTGCTCTTGCAATTAAGCCCTCCACTTCTTGTTGTTGTTTAATGGGATGTTCTTCCTAAAGTTTTTTCTCTGTTAAAGTTTGAAATAGTCTGACTTTTGCCAGTAACTCTGCTTATCCTCTTAATTCTGTGGTTTGCTTTTCTGTTTTTTTGTTGTTTTCTTTTTCCCCCTCTTCTTTTGTAGTGGATTTGCTGTTGGTATCTACACTACAAACTCTCCTGAGGCCTGCCATTATGTAGCAGAGAACTCTAGTGCTAACGTTCTGGTTGTGGAAAACCATAAACAGCTGCAGAAAATCTTAGAAGTAAATACACTTTTTAAATGCTTGGGGGCTACAGCATCCTGTTGACAGATGTGGGATGGTAAATGCAGTGGGAGGGTAATACTTGAGGGAAGTGGTGGATCTGAAAGCAGAGGTGAACTGCTCGAGCCTAGTTGGTGTGCACTAGTAGGCACTAGTGCTGAATCTCACCAGAGGTTAAATAGTGGTTCCACAGCTTAGCAAAGCCTTGGCTTAAAATATGAGAAGCCAAAATGAGCAATTGAGCATCTCCTGTGTTGTGTGGCAACACCCCAGTGCAAACAATTACTGTCTCTAGTGAGGCTTCCCTGTTCCTTTTGGTAACGCAGATGAGATTCTATTGGCTTTGCTTAAAATGGCAAGTAGCAGTAGCATGGGAAGTGGTGGGTTACTCAGGCTTAAAAGGGACAGGCAGGGTTTGCTCCTCCTCACGAGTCTCCCTTCTTGACACAGATTCAGCATAAACTACCTCATCTGAAAGCTGTTGTCCAGTACGGGGAAGAGCTAAAAGAGAAGAGGCCAAATCTGTACTCTGTAAGTACCGGGCATCGGAGTGGCTTGTAAATCCCCGCCGTGTTTGGCTGGTGGCTGGCCAGCAACCATCACCTTCCATGGGACTGTCAGCACGTGGCCGTAGGCTGGTTTTAGCGAGGGATTGCTTGCCTCGCTGAAGCAGTAGATGTCTACTGTTGTTCAGACCTCGATAATCCACGTTGCAAGGGAGGGTGTTGGCGTGCTGACCTCTGCCAGGCAGCCTTGGGTCCCACGGGTACTCCAGCGTGGCACTCCCAGTGAGCACGAACCAGGGTTGCTACAGAGCTAGTAAGCTTCCTCAGGGTGGGTCTGGCTCCGTTTCTGCTTCTCACCATGCCTCTTGCAGCAGCAAGAAGACATTGTGGGGCTGACGGTGCATATTTACAACCTCTTCCAGATTCTGCCAGAGGTTTGGATGTAGGAAACAGTTTCCTTCTCTTCATGTGTAGCAAAAGGTTTAATTTCACGTGTGAACGATAACCTGACAAAGTGACTGAGCGCTTCTCTTCTGTACACAGTGGAGTGAGTTCATGGACCTTGGCAAAGATGTTCCAGATACTCAGCTCCGTGAAGTCATTGAGTCGCAGAAGCCCAACCAGTGCTGTACACTGATCTATACCTCGGGGACAACCGGACAGCCCAAGGGAGTGATGCTCAGTCATGACAACGCAAGTATCTGTGTATAAACGCCCGTCCTGTGGCCTCGGGTGGGTGCTGAGGGAGGGCAGAGATCAGCTGAAAAACATGCCTGGTGTTGAGATCACGGGACGTCATGGACTTGTTGTGAGCTGCGCGTTCTGCGCGTGCCTGCTCGGAAAATGCTCAAGCCTGACCTGGGCTCTCCTTACAGCTGACATGGACGGCGGCGGCGGCCGGGCGGTTCACGAGGCTGGCGGACGCTAAAGAAAAGCAGGAGCTCGTGGTCAGCTACCTGCCCCTCAGCCACATCGCTGCACAGATGTCAGATATTTGGTTGGCAATGACGTTCGGTGTGCAAGTTTTCTTTGCTCAACCAGATGCATTAAAGGTAAAAACATAAGATAATAAAAAAACCTACACCGGTCTACCTGCTTGGAGCTGGGGTGGGCGCTTTAAAACGAGCGCGGTGACTTGTCTCCTGATTCTGGAAGCTGTGCTAACTCGGGTTATCTGCAGAGAGACCAGCCGCTCCTGTTGAAGGGTCTGTTGGTTTGACAAATACAGCCACTCCGACCTTTGCCTTTTGACTCGGTGTTGCACACTGGGGTAGGGTGACCACGCACTTCAGAACTAGATGCTTCTTGGTGTCTCACCTGACACAGTTCTCCACGCCAACAGCTTGGTTGAGCAACGACTTTTATTTGCTCTGTCCGCATTGCACAATGCCACCACTGCTAAATCTGCGTCCTGAGGAGGGAACAATTCTTCTCTCGGTGGTGGTGCTGAAGGCATCAGCCCCTCCTGTCTTCTCAAAACAACTGAATTTGAATGCTCCTGGGGTTCTTTTCTCTTGGTGGCACTGCCGTTAAAAATGAGCAATTCCTCCAAATCGATGGCAGAGTCCTGAGCTTCAGTTACTGCCCAGCGCTGACCCAAAGTCTACAGTGTACATGTCTGTGTGGTCTTTTGAAAGCTGTATTAAATTCTGCTTTGCTCAGGGCTCCTTGGTGGACACCCTGCGGGAAGTGAGGCCAACTGCTTTTTTGGGAGTTCCGCGTGTCTGGGAAAAAATGGAAGAGAAAATGAAATCCGTAGGTGCAAAATCATCAACACTCAGAAGAAAAGTGGCATCGTGGGCCAAGGGAGTCGGGCTGCAGACAAACCTGAAGCGGATGAACGGGTAATTATGAGCCACACTTAAGGGAGAATATTGGGAGAACTTTACTGTCAGGTCAGGAATTATATCCCGTGTAACAAGGCCAGACTTAGGGGCAGTGAAAGCCAAACGTCGCGGTTGGACCAGAGGGTGAGCAGCAAGGGCTGGGTGGGGGGGAAGCAGTTAATTTTTTACTGGATAAAGTAAAATGGGAGGAAGATGAACGGAGGAAGGGGGAGAAGTTCTCCTTGGTGACTGAGATCTGGTAACCGTTTTTCTCCTGTAGGTATTCCGAAGTGCCGGTGAACTTCCGCTTAGCCAGGCACCTGGTGTACAAGAAAGTGCGAAAGGCCATTGGGCTGGACCGGTGCACAAAGTGCTACACAGGGGCTGCTCCCATTACCAGAGAGACGCTGGAATTTTTCTTAAGTCTGAACATTCCTGTGTTGGAGCTGTACGGCATGAGCGAGAGCTCCGGGCCCCACACCATGTCTCTACCTCACGCGTTCAAGCTTACCAGGTAAAAACATCTTTCCGCCAGCAGAGTGCTGCTGGCTGGGAGGAGGAGTTGCTGTAAGGTTTCTCCTGCATCTGGCATGTCCATCTCACCTGATGCAGCTCGTCCTGAGTCTTGTTGCCAGTTAGAAGTCACTGGTGGGCCAGTTCCTTTGGTCACATCTTGCAGATGAAGAGATCTGCCAAGAGCAACAGCCGTGTTACTTAAATTTAGCTTGGCCTGGATCCTCTAGGAACTTGAGGAGGAAGCAAAGGATTCCTGGGAAGAATTAGTAACTCTAGCCTCTGGTTTGCTTCAGTGTCAAATTAATAAATGCAGTAAGACTCTGCTGCTGCTTTGACTGGCTTGTTCAGTCCCCGTGGGCTCAGTCTGCAGAGTAAATACCACCGTCAGCGAAAACTTGCTGCCAAGGGCATAAATCTCCTAATTCAAAGCTCAGGTGTTTAAGAACAATGGGTGGAAAACACCAGGTGTGTGAGCACTGATCTCTCTGCAATAACAACTTTTTCTGTCGTTCCCCTTACATAAGCAGATGTCTTAAGTTTATAAGTTCCTTGCTGAAGCAGTTGTAATAAAAAAGCTGCCTGGCATTGTTTAAACACTTTTGCTTGAGAAGGTGCTGCTATAATCTCACTCTGCTGCTCAGCTATTGAATTTAAAAAAAAAAACCAACAAACCCAACCAGAAATGCCGTGGGTTTGTGTTTGTGTTCCCTCTAAGCTGTGGAAAGGAGGTCACAGGCTGCCGGACGCTGATTCATAAGCCCGATGCAGATGGCAACGGGGAGATCTGCTTCTCGGGGAGGCACATCTTCATGGGCTATTTGAACATGGAAGAAAAAACCAAAGAGGCGATTGATGAAGACGGCTGGCTGCACTCAGGTGACCTCGGCAAACATGATAAAGATGGATTCCTCTACATCACTGGCAGAATTAAAGGTAACGCGTCCCCTGACTTCAATGTCTCGAGCTTGCACAGTACTATGACATGATGCATGAGACCCTGCTGGTTACGTGGTTGTGGCTTGCACAGAAGAGTATTTAAATACTTCTCTTCTGAAGCTTTTAGTATGAATATGGCTGCTGCCACTGCACAGTGACGTGGTGTGTGACGGGAGGGCAGGCTGACCTCTGAAACCACTGTGTGTTTGCGGAGTGAGGAAGAAATGCTCTGTGATTCCAGAACCAGTAGTCAGTGCTTTGCTGGCTTGATTTTTTTGGTGCTGGACCTGTCCAGCTGTGTGGACTCTCGCCGCCCTCAGCTGGCTTTGCTGAGAAAAACCAACAGCTCAACACTGTTGTGAAAACGGCTCGCAGCAACGCAGCTCTTGGGGCGCTGCCTTGACTAACCCCAGACAAATCAGATTTCCTGCAAGGCTTCACCATCGAGAAGAGATAAATGGTCACACAAAGGGGTGTGTGACTTCACTTCACTGTTCAGTTTCTGAACAACTTGGGTACCAACTTCACATGCTTTAGAGTCTGGGGTGACTGTGGCAGGGTACTGAGGTGCTCGTATGCCAACATCCCACGTTCCCAAACTGCAAACGCCTCTGAAGCATCAAAGCAGCTTTTGCAATGCCGTTTGTGTGCACGCTTCAGTCTCGCCTCTCCTGGCCTGACCGGAGTCCTCCTGGTTTGCTGCATTCTCCAGATTTTGGGACACAGACTCATTGTTTGATCTGGCAGACACAAAGGAGCTAAAAAAGTAATTTCAGATTGTGAAGGAAAGGGGAAAAGCTCTGAGTGTTAATCCAGATTTGACTGTTTTCCAGAGCTCATCATCACCGCGGGAGGCGAGAACGTTCCTCCCGTTCCAATCGAAGATGCTGTGAAAGATGCTGTTCCCATCATCAGCAATGCCATGTTGGTTGGAGACAAAGCAAAATTCCTTGCTATGCTTCTAACGCTGAAGGTAATGGAAAAGAGGATGAGAATCCACCTTTGTTGCTGAATGTGTTTTATTCCAGTGAGGAAGATAATTGTTACGCGTTTTTACAGTACATTCTAGAGACAGGAGGTGTGGTGGAGTCCGACTTGCAGCTGAGTTGCAAACAGCAGGTGTAACTGTACAGAAGAATGAGCAGGTTCAGGTTGTTCAGGGCAGCTCTTTCTCTCTGTACCATGTAGGGCAGAAAGAAACAAATCCGAAAGACCTAAAAGTGAGGCTGAAAAAAGACACCCTCTGCTTTTCTCACTCAGTTTGAGTATCTCCCAGAGCGGCCGGGGCCGTAGCGAGCTGGCAGGGATTTCTTTTTAAGACACTGGCTTTAATCTCCACAGCGGTGCAGCTGTGGTGCCTTCTGGCCAGAGCCCCTGCAGGCGGGGGGGTTTCAGGACGGTGGTCATCGCTGGTGAGCGAGACTCACGCGAGGGCGAGCAGGTTGGCACTCGGAGCCGCCGTGCCAGGCCCTGGAGGTGGTGGTGCTGCGCTTGTCGCAGCTGGGTGTCGACTGCAGTGACTTCCAACGGACTGTTGTGCTGCTGGGGGATGCAGGGAAGTAAACTGCGGTCCCGAAAAAAGGCATCAGCTTGGGATAGCACAGGAGGAGTGTGGAAGATGAGCTCTGTACCCAGCTTGCTCCTTGGTATTGCCACAGCTGTTGAGCAGGCAGAGATCTGAAGGCGTTTTCGTTGGAAGCAGTGGTTTGTATCAAGTGTCTGAGAATTACAGTGGTTGGTTATCAGACAGTTGGCACCGGGGTGGGGAGGGAGACGGGGCAGCTCCCCGTGCCTGGAAGGCTCAGGAATATGAAGGGAATCGAGTGTCTTGCACGATGGAGTGACCTTCTCTGACTTGTCTTGCAGTGCAACGTCGATGTAGAAACGGGTGAGCCAGGAGATGACCTCACTCCTGAGGCTGTCGAGTACTGTCAGAAGCTGGGCAGCAAGGCTACGACAGTCTCCGAAATCATCAGCAGCAGAGACAGGGCTGTCTACGCGGCTATCCAGAAGGGAATTTCGGCAGTCAACGAGGGAGCGGTCTCAAACGCTCAGAAAGTCCAGAAGTGGGTCCTTCTGGAGAAGGACTTTTCTCTTGCTGGTGGAGAGCTCGGTGAGTGGTGGGTGGGTGGGGCATTTGGGGTTACCCTGTCACCCCTTCCGTGGATATGGCACAGACCACACACCCAGGACCCCCAGCACACAGAGCTACCCACGGCCCTGCCTCGCTGTGGCTTTTCCATGTCTCAGTTTTGGGGAGGATGGGATGAATTCCCACTTCTGCCTGGCAGGACTGAGCTGAGCAGCGCTCACCCTGGGCTCTGTGTTGCCTGTGGCAGGATGGTTGTGCTGTGTCTATTCACAGGGGAAGGAAGAGAGATTTTTATTAACCACAAAGAGTAACTGAGAAGTCAACGTCCGTGTGCGTGTTCCGAATCTCGCTCCAGGCCGGCTCCACTCTGACACTGACTGACATCACCTGGAAAACCTTGTGCTGTATTTTTTCCACAGGCCCAACAATGAAGCTGAAGAGACCAGCGGTGGCCCAGAAGTACAAAGACCAAATCGCCCAGTTTTACGCGGACGCGGACACGCCGACCACAGCAGAGAGCCCGCTGCAGCCGTAGGGCGGGGGCTCCGTGCCACGGGCTCGCAGCAGGGCCGGAGGATGATTCTGTTGAAATAAACGAGGGTCCGTCGTGACACGGCCCTTCTGCCTCGCGCCGCTGTACAGTCTTTGGCCCTCGTGCTGCAGCGTGGTGAGCGTGTTCGTGCCCAGTGTTTTCCCAAGTCTGCCACAATGCTGAGGTGTTCCTGAATATCTCTGCTTCGTGTGTTCGTCTTTCTGTTTTCCTAAGGGCAAAACGATGTTTACCTTAAGTCCATATTACATGTTATGTTTTAACCAAAGTTTTCTTTTCCTGAGCTGAATGTAAAACCATTGGGAACTGCAATTTTCCTGCTGCAGGAGAGAGGCAGGTTTCTTTCCATAGTGGTGCACCTGGCTCCCCCACCGACGCACGTTTGCCTGCATGCTGATGACGCCTGAATCGTTTCAAGTCTCTTTACCCACAAACTGTCTTCTGTCCAAGACGACAGCGTGTGACGGCACACACGGGCTCGGTCTGTGTGGGGGAACCTCACGTTTGCTGGGTTTGTCTGTGCAATATTTTGAGTCTGTTTTTCCTTCTCGAGTTATAAGGAAGCCATAAATTGTGGTGTTCAAATAGGATCCATGCCCCAAGTTCTGAGACGTGTTTTAGGCACGGGACTATTTATAAGGCTGTGTATAAATGTTGTGTGAAATGTCTGTACTCTGAATCATGGAAATGCTGATTAGAGCTTCCCGAAACAGGTGGAACTCCAGAGGGTTTGTACCTGCACCAGTAGAGAGTGTTGGGAACCCAGTTGTGCAAAGGGTGGTTCTTTTAAAGTCTGCAATCAACTGTTCCAGCAACTGTAAAGGCCCTTTACATTGAACTGGTTGGATGTAGGACACGGGACAGCTGCCTCCAAAGCTGTGGGAAAGCACCCAAACACCAGTAGCTCCTGAAGGAAGGGCTCTTCTAAATGGTTCTGCAAAGCTTCTTCCATTCTGCCCAATGCCTGGAGGGACTGTTAATCCCAGCGGCAAATGAAGGATCGCTTGTAAAATGGCTTATTCTTGTGAAACGGCTTATTTTGCACGACACATCGCTGTCTGCATACGAGTGGAACTGCCGTGCTCTCTGGTTCTGGGTGGCTTTTCCCATGGCCTGAGGAGGAGCACCAGGAGGTGTCGGGTGCTGCGAGGGGGATGCATCCTGCAGGGGAGAGTCACAAACAGCTCGAGCACGCTGCTGGGTGTCCCAGCCTCACTGTGGTGGGCAATAACCTGGGGGGTTCGAACCTAAAACGTTGTGTCTGGGGGGGGCTCAGCGAAATCCCACTTGCACAGGTGCCTCCGGCACCCCCGGGGAAGGGCGAGTGATGGCTGCGCTGTTGTAACCGCTGCGATCTCGGGCAGACGCTGGTGTTCCCAGCTGTGTGAGTTTGCCCCCAGTGTTCAGAGGAATGGCTAATAAACAAACTGCTGTTTGCGTCTCTTAACGCCTCAGTGATTTCTGCAAAGTGACACTGGCCTCCACGTGAAGGTCAGGGTGAAGGTCAGGGTCTGAGGCAGCAACAAGGTCCATTTTCCCTGTGGCAGGCAGAGCTGCAGCCAGGGCTGGCTCCTCGATCGCGGCCGAGGATGGAGGGAGGAGGCTGATGTGCACAAACCCCCCCAACATCTGGAGGGGAACTCAGCTCCTGGCGGTAACCTCTGCCCCCAGCCACGACGTGTGTTGGGAGCAGCGGAGAAGGGGGAAGCAGCTTCAGCCCCAGGGAAGCAGAGGGAGGGTTTGCACCCCCCTTCAGCAAACCGCCGTTCCGCCTGCTCCGTCCTGCCGCCGGCAAACCGGGAACCAAACCCGACGCTGCCGCAGGGCTGAAGCAACCAACTGAACTCCCACGTGCAGACGGACATGGGCAGCACCCCCCCACTGCCTGCGCTTCCAACAGCTTCCTTCTCCTTTGCTTTCCACCCGTGCCCCGGCACGGCGGGGGCCTGCCGGCAGATCTGCAGAGCAGCCCGTGGTGTTATTGCCCTCTGTATTTCTCATGGAAAACATTTCTGGTAACGAGGTGCTTCGGGAAAGCCTCACTGCTGCCCATGGAGAAGCAACACAACAAACAAAAAACGCTTGAAGTTTTACTTTTCCATCTTACTTTATTTCACTTTTTCTAGAAAATTCCTCCATGGTTCCACAAATTTAACAAAAAGTTTAAAATTCAGGACAAACAATCCTGTAACATATTACAAACATGATTTTTTTTTTTAATTTTTTTTTTTTTTTTTAAATCTTGAAGTTAGTCTTGGGCCAGCTGAATTTCTTACAGCTGAGTGAAGAATTCATTTCCCAACACAACTTTTAAAATCCTCAAGTGACAAGGTATTTAATACCTCGGCTCTAGGCAGAAATACAATTAAAAATTATCTAGAAGTTGAAGTACTTACATTTCTTTTTTTATCTCTTTAGGAGTGCAAACTCATCTTGTCAGTTTTTGATGGCTATTTCACGCCCCCAGGAAAGCAAATACCGATGGATTTTTGTCTTTTTTAGAAGGAATACTCGTACAAGGTGCACAACGGTTGGCTGCGGCGTCGGCACGAGCGATGCCGACGGCGGGAAGCTCTGTCCGAGCGCACCGACCGCGCTCCGGTGCGTTCGCCGCCGCGGCAGCTGCCATGTGCAGAGCCAGAGGGACTCGGGTCTCTGCTGGCACAGAACGGGACAGGGCGAGCTCCGCCAGGAAGGCGGAACCTCTCTCACCATCAAACACGTTCAAGACCTGACAAAAAACTGCTTCTGGATTGTTGCACCAGTCGCTTTGCTGCGCCTGATGCTACCGCCGCACACGGCAATGGAACTGGTGGCAAAAATCATTGCACTTCCATGGATCCAGCCTGACCACGGCACAGCCAGTCTCGTTACCTGTGTGTCCAACACTCCTCAGCTGCTGCTCCGCGACCCAGCCAGCCTTGCTATCCTTTTTTTTTTTCCTTTTTTTTTTTTTTAATAGTAAATGTCAGTAATCAAAGCCTCAAGGCTTAATACACACGCAGACCAAGACAACAGGAAAACACTCCCGACCCCTCTTTTGCCCTTTAATACAAAGGCCAAGGACAAAGGAAAAGCTGTGTCCTGATCTTACCTCCAACACGACTCAACGCAACTCTGAAAGCCTTCAGACTGATCAGCACTCGTTCATGCCCTCAGCTACAAGGTGAAGGACACTGAAAAGTAACAGAGTTCTGTCCATTTTCCTTGGAAAAACCATTATGGCTAGAAGTCATAGTTTGGGTATTTTTTTTTTTTTCTTTTCTCCTTTTTTTAACAACGCAAGCTACTACACATCCTCGAAGACCTGAAGCAATGCTGACGGCAGCACTGCCACCTCCTTCCTAGAGTACAATAACCCATCCATGCTCTCAAGAGTGACACAAGAACAAACACTTTATCCACAAATACCTGTACACGGCATGTTCAGAACAGCACTCAGCCAGCCTAGAGAGAATCTACACAGGGAACGCGTTCATATGGGACTAGAAGGGGACACAAGACGAGGCCCAAATTTGACCATTCTTTGTTTGCAGTCATTCCTCCTGTGGTCCCCGACGCTACCACATACCCCAAAAAACAACAACTCTGTAGAACAACTAAGTACTTGCAAGAATCCTTTTAGTAACAAATCAGCATGTGCACACACTGGAAAAGAACTATTGCTGGGGGAACAATCCTATTTCAGGTTTTCAAGGAGATTATAAACAGTCTAAAAAAATCCATGTGTAAAATACTTCTTATAAAAACCAAACAAAATTCCTATCAACGCTCATTAGACTTCACAAATAAAGTCGGTTCCAGGACAGGACGATGCCACAACCACGGGCGGGAGCCTGGGGCACTTCCAGCCAAGTTCAGGAACACCCTCCCACACATGTTCTTGGACTGGCTGGGAGCAGCGTGATCATTCGGATCTTAACATGAGAAGGGGGCAGAAGGGAGGTGGCACCTCTGATCCCTGTGGGGTTAACTCTGGAGGCTACTGATAGTCCCAGGAGCAACGGTGACGTGGATGCAAGGGCGGCAGGAGTTAAGTTACCCGTGTGGAGAGAGGAGGCAAGGCCCTGGGGGGATCTCGGGCTCAGGCTGGCTACCACTGCTGCTCCCACTGCTTCCAGGACAGGACAATGTCACCAACCCCACCCCTCAGCGGGGGCAGCGAGCAGGAGGCACCAGGGACCGCTCCACACGCCCAGGGAGCCAAGTCTGGGTCCACAGCGACCGTGCAAGGCTTGCCTCCTCCAGGCCACCGGCCCAACGGGGACCAACGCAGAGTTCGCACGTACCGACCGCGCCCCACACGGCACACGGGCCAGTCCGTGACACCGGCGGAGCGACCACCGCGGCGCGCCGCGCTGCCGGCCGAGGCGGGACTGCAGCTCCTCCTCTTCCGTCCTCCGCCTTCTCAGCGCACGTTTGCGCACAGGGCTCCTATCCAGGCTTGGCAAGGTCCATCGAGAAAGAAAAGAGCTGAGATCACTGTCGTGACAGGGTTTGCACCTGGCATGAGCTTGATTTTTTTTTTATATATATATATATACACACACACACACACACGAGACACATGAAAGATGGTACAAAGACAAAATTAATGGGAATCGGGTCAACATGACCCAACTCAAACAAGCTTATCATCATATTGCCACTTAAGTTGATTAGTTGCAACATTTCCATGATAAAGAAAGGGGTAACCCAAAACAAGGGACTGCAATTTCAGAATGGAGAAGGGACAGCAAACCCTGGAGTGATGCAGCCCCTCAGCTCCCACACGGGGCTTGCACGGATACGGGAGGTCCACTCGTGAGCAGAGGGCTCCTCCGGACCGCTGCTCTCCTCCTCACCGCCTGCAGCCCACTTAACATTTGGCAAAAGCTTACATGCTGATTGGAAAAAACTGAGCAATTCTTCTAACAAAAACAAAAAAATTACTGAATTTAGGGAACAGGAGTGTAATAGGTTTGAGGAAAGCCACGGGACCTTCC